GTTAGGACTCAGCACTGCAAGCTGGCCGCAGCCACCTCAGTGTGAGTTTGATCCCCCGCCCCGAGGAGACCCACATGGCGCGGCAGACCTCTCCTGTCTTGCCTGCTGCTCCCCTCAGCAGTGCACTTCTGATTTGCGTGTTCTGCTCCCCACTCTGTCTCTGGTGAATCCTCTCACTGCTCCTGCACCTCTGGCCTGCACCCCAGTTCTGTATACATAAATAAGTCTTGAAAAAAAAAGAAAGAATGAAATGAAAGTCTAAGTCCATTTAAAACTGGTCTGTTAATTCAGCTTAATGTTAACAGCACCAAAGGGAAGATAACCCAGCATTGGCTGCAGGTCACCTCTTTGGTTATAGCCAAAGTGGTAAAAGGAAAGTGTGGGGGGAGGGGCCTCAGGAAGGCTGTGTGGAGAGGCTTGCAGAGGTGATCACCAATCTCTGCTTTATTGACATGGAAATGAATGTATAAATTAAACCTGAACAAACCATGCATTTTAAATGTCTAGACTCTAATGTCTGCCAATTATAAAGAAAGAAAAATAATGAGTTGAAGTTAATTTGAATACTCCCATACCTATTAAAGATTAATTTTCATTAAAATTTCCTTACAAAGGAAAGTTTAGGGACAGATACCATCACAGGTGATTTTATCAAACCTATTTAATGAACAAATAGAAGCAAGTTATAATTTTTGGCAACTGGCAGAAAAATCACTGTGAACATTTTGTTCTAATTGATCTCTTACTTTTTTTAAGATTTATTTTTACTTATGCATACAGAACTGGGGTATAGGCCAGAGGTGCAGGGGTGGTAAAAGGCTTCACCAGAGACAGTGTGGGGAGCAGAAAAGGCAGACTGGCAAAGTACACTGCTGAGGGGAGCAGCGGGTGGGTCAGGAGAGGTGGTCATGTGCCATGTAGTCATCTCCAGGGCGGGGGTCGAACTCATGCTGAAGTGGCTTTAGCTTCCTAGTGCTGTGCATTAACCCACTGTGCCACCAGGGAGGGCCCTGATTTCTTACTCTTCATATGTTCATTTATCATTTGTAGAATTGGTCATTGAACTAATTATATTAATAATTAGCCTGTTCCATGTAAATAAAATAGGTCAGAGAGTTGACTAAGGAAAATCCCTGGTCTCTGTGAGCTCTCATTCCCTACCCCAAGAGTTGAAAAACGCATAATGAAACTTCATAAGGATGGCAGGCGTCCTCCTGTGTGAGCGAGAGAAGCTGCGTTCCAGAGTCTGAGGCCCAGAGAGCCCCTGTGTGTGCAGCCCTGTGTGGCCTAGAATTGGGGGTCAGGGAGGAGCATTATAGACACATCCTCCTTCTTAGGGGTGATGTTGCTTTGAACACATTGAAAGTAACCATGCTTCCAGTTCTAGGGCATATTATGTATGTAAGAAAAATGTGGGTGAGGACTACAGTGGGCAAGGCGTATAGGAGAACTTTCAGCACCGTCCTGCACAAATGGTCATTTCCTGAAGTCTAGAGGAGCACAGAGACATCCACATTGGGGGTGTCTGTTACCAAATTAGATAGGGCAGATGTAAAATGGATTAGCTGATGTACTGAAAATTGTCTCAAATTTGTGTTGTTCCAAAGGACAGAGTAGGACTTTCTCAGGGAGGAAGTAGGTCTTTGCAACTTTGCAACTCAATCAATTGATTGAGTTATTCAGCTGCTATGAATTCAATATAATTATCAATGATAACTGATAATTGATGGATACACAAAGAAACTAAGAGCTGACACTGGTCAAACACTAGAGCCTTAATGAAACTTCTCATCATTAGTATTATTAGTATTTTTATATGTAGTGATGGACAAGGCTGAGAAACGTCACTTTGTTAATTTAGGGTCATCAGAATCACGTGTACAGCCCAGCACCCAGGGCTGTCTGAGCAGGCACTGGCTATGTGTGCTGGAGGGTGACAGGTCATCCTGTTTCTTAGGTGGGACGAGGAGCAGCCAGGAGCCCCTGATGCCTGGGACACCCTCTCAGGTGACTGCACGAGCTCAGTCCCTCCGGCCTCTAGGCAGGCTCCTCTGCACAAAATGTTAGAAACTGCGGACAATTAAGCGACTGTCTTTCCTTAACCAGGAGCTGAGGGACCTTGTCCTTGTCCGCTCAGTGGTTTATAAGGTGGTGACCTCCTGGCTGTTCTATACATCAGGGACAGACACAGCCAGCTCGGGAGGGCTCGATGGGCTCACAGGATGTCTTCTTAGTTTTTTATTGCTGGTGTGCACAACAGTAGCTGAGACTCAGCCAGTGATTTCAAGGTGCTCAAATGTAACAGAATGACACAGGCCAGAGCAGGGTGTCGGGGTGGATTCTAGGTGAGCAGAATGTGTCTCTGTGCTCAGAGGTCAGATGTGCCCTCCCTGTGGTCTGTGGGTGACCAGGTGCATGGGTGTTTCTGTGTGTGTGTGATTGCTGTGGCTCTGCTGAGAGCAGGCTAAAAAGGAGACAGGAAAATGTGTGAATAAGGAAGTGAGGCAGAGAAGGGATGAGAATAGTAGGACAGAGGGGAGGGGAGAGGGAAATAGGCAGAAGACAGGAGGAGGTGGAGAGAGAAAAGACATCACTCCACGGTTTTCCTCTCTTTGCTCCAGGGCACAAGCACAACTGGGCCCCCATTGAACAAGTGGGGTCACTGCTGAGGGGGATCTGCAGTCTCTTGGTGGCTCCTTTGAGCTCAAGCATCTGCCCCCCTCCTGCATAACTGCCGCCTGTGCATCACTGGCTACTCAGCACAGGTGAGTAAAGAGACTCGCATGATAAACACGGAAGGCGTGCGCCCACTCTGGAGCAGTGGCCCGGCATTCATCCCTGGGCAGCGGCGGAGGGAGGACCTGGCCTTGTTACAGTCGTTCGGTAGTGTGATCCTGCATCTTATCTGGGTTGTAAACGCATGGCGCTGTAGGGCTCAGGGTGATGTCTGTGGGTGTGTGTGTGTCTGCTGATGTTTATTGTCAGATACAGTTCCTGTGGTGGCCGCTGCGACCTGATGTGTCCAGAGTCTCACTCAGCGACCACATTCTCCGTCCCTGTTCCACACTGGTCTTTTCTGCTGTGGGAGAAGGGTTCCCGTGCGTCTCCCCACTGTGCAGGTGGGTAATGATGGGAGCTCAATGCAGCAGCAGGTCCCTGGGGGTCCAGTCCTCGTCTGGTGCTTATGTGTTTGCTCTCTGACCTGCAGCCCCCTCCCTGGGAAGGGAGAGGTATCTATTGTACAAACAGTGCTGTCTTGAGGACTGAATGAGGCGGGCACACCACGCCTGCCATGACTGGTGCTCATGAAGAAGGTTTTTATCATATTTCCACAAACCAATGTTTGTGTCACGGAGGTTTGTCCATCACTCTCCAAAGCAGCAAAAGCACAGGTGAACATGCCTGGATGGAGGCCCCTACACACCCCTCCCACCTAACGCACATGGTCTGATCTTCCCAGGACTCAGGTTCCAGCACCTTCCACACACGTTGTTTGTGTCACATGCCTGGTGGTTTCAGATGGTTCCTGCTGTTTGTTCTGGTGCCTCCGTGAGACTGACACAGCCCAGGTCTGCAGGCAGCCAGGTGGCACCTGGGGCCAGACACTGTCCTGTCAGTATTGTGAATTTATATAAACAGTGTCCTCAGCAAGTTCATGGTCCCTAAGAGAGATCTTCTGTCCTGCTCCGCTGCTTGAGTGAATCAGCCTAGATTTTTCATCAATGTGTCTGTGTAACCCTAATGCTAGCCGCACTGCCAAAGATCCCGCCTGTGGTTATTCACCTCTCTGGCCTTTATTTGTCACGTATGAAATGAAGAAATCATATTTTCCTAGTGTATCATACAATCTCTAGCTATATCTTTAACTTTTGAATTAAACACTGTGCGAGCATTTTGTGAGCTGCAGGATGGTAAAGATGGTTGATAGGCCAACACAGTGATGAATGATGTCCCTCAGCGTGCCTGATTTTCCAGAGACTCTCTACTGCTAGGAGGGATCAATATTCATGCAGCTGGACCTGCTGGTCTCTATGTTGCCAGTCACTTTCTGTACTTAAGGAAGGGGCACCTTTACACACACTGGAAATGAGTCTTTTCAGTATTAAAACAAATAGTATAGTGCTGATTAATAAGTGCTATGGTTAGGATTTAGCTAGAAAGGTATATAAAATCTTAGGCCTAATGTCTGCTTAGTGTGGTATAGGCCAGAGGTGCAGGGGCGGCGAGAGGCTTCACCAGAGACAGAGTGGGGAGCAGAACAGACAGATCGACGAAGTACACTGCTGAGGGGAGCAGCGGGAGGGTCAGGAGAGGTCTGCCACGCCATTTTGGTCACCTCCGGGGCAGGCAGGGATGGAACTCATGCAGAATTGGCTTAAGCTTCTTAGTGCTGTGCTTTAACCCGCTGTGCCACCAGGGAGGGCCATTAATGACATTTTTAAAGAATTATTACTAAGGTTGGTCTGGGAACCCTGGGTTGATGCTGAGTTAAAAAGAATGTTAAATATCTCTGAGCAGTAAGGATTCTGCCATGTTACTGTAAGCCTGTCACAAATTCTTAGCTCTTTTAGTGCAATTTAGAGAGTTATTATACTTTAAGAAGGAAAATGCAGATGTCTGTGTCCTACTTCTCTCATGATTTTGCCATTTTTTGATCTTTGATTAGTATGATATAATGGTGCAAAATCTCAGACTTTTAACACTTTACATTTATTGTTCACTATGGTGAACTCAATGCTTTGTGTCATATCTGGAACAAGGCTGTTGTTCAATGAATAATTTGGTAATGAAGAAACCTGTCCTCTAATTCGTGGAAGGAAAATTTTAAAATACTGTGCAAATGTCATGATCCACTGGAGCTCTATTGTGAGAGACTGTGGTGTGAGTGAAAAACAGAGGTTAACACGTTCATGTAAAGAGGATATTGCTATATTTTTATGGCCACTTCTGAGATTTCTACCTCTCCTCTTTCCTTCATTCCTAGCAGAGATATGAGCAGCATGAGACAGGAGAACCACAGCAGCGTGTCCGAGTTCCTCCTCCTGGGGCTCCCCATCCGTCCAGAGCAGCGGGGGGTCTTCTTCGCCCTGTTCCTGGCTATGTACCTGACCACGGTGCTGGGGAACCTGCTCATCATCCTGCTCATCAGGCTGGACTCGCGTCTCCACACCCCCATGTACTTCTTCCTCAGCTATTTGGCCCTCAATGATGTGTGTCTCTCATCTGTCACTGTCCCAAAGACGTTGATGAACTTGCACACTAATGACAAGTCCATCCCCTATGCGGGGTGCATTTCGCAAACTTATTTTTTAATATTGTTTGGCTGTCTTGACAATTTCCTTCTGGCAGTGATGGCCTATGACAGGTACGTGGCCATCTGTCAGCCCCTGCACTACAACACCATCATGAGGCCGGAGCTGTGTGTCTCCTTAGTTGCTGGGTCCTTTCTCTTCTGCAGTGTCCACTCTCTGTTGCATGCCCTGCTCCTGGCCCGACTGTCATTCTGTGCTGACAGTACCATCCACCACTTCTTCTGTGACCTCACTACACTCCTGAAGATGAGCTGCTCAGACATCTCCCTCAATGAGTTGGTCCTCTTCATTGAGGGAGGGATGATTGTCATGGTTCCTTTGAGTGGCATCTTGGGCTCCTATATCCGGATTTGGACTATGGTTCTGAGAGAGCCCTCTGTTAAGAAATTCTTCAAAGTCCTGTCCACCTGTGGCTCCCACCTCCTCGTTGTGGCTTTGTTCTACGGGACCATTGCAGAAGTTTACTTTTTCTCCTCATCATCCACCTCCAATGATAAAAATATAACTGGTTCTGTGATGTATATGGTTGTCACCCCCCTGCTAAACCCCTTCATCTACAGCCTGAGAAACAGAGACATGAAACGTGCCCTGGAAACCTTTGTGAACCGGGCTAAGTTCCTTATGTCCAAAGACTCAATCTGAATGCGGTGATAAAATCACAGTCAAATTACAGTAAATTATAACAGCTTGGCATGTGTTCTGAGAGTCCAGTTGAATCTGGGCTGCGTGCAGAGTACAGGGAAGTTGGCCTTTCCCATGATCCTCTCTGCTGACATACACAGCTGTGTTACCCAGACTGACTTTCAAGGATTTTGATTTTTCTTAGCAATGCTTGCCACACAGGATGTCTTGTAACATGCAGAAAGCTTGATGTCAGAGTAGTGGATGCCAACTGGCAAAGTGAACATGGTAACTCCTCCGTCCTACCACACCAGGGCAACCTGCCTCTCTCCTTGGCCTCCTCAAGGTCAAGGCAAGGAGGGAGCTCAAATCAGTGTCATAGAAAATTCTGCTTATGTAAACTGAAAATCAAAATTTTAAAAACCTGACATTCCAATAATAAACATTTGATAACTCCTATCTTTATTTCTTTTTAAATTGAGTCTATGTGAGTTAACTTGTCTTTAATAAATATGCATGGGTGCAAGTTTGAAAAATTTTCTGTTTTGGGAAAGTGCTTTAGTTCTTTCTAAGAATGAAAAATTCTGAAATGCTAGAAATTTTCCACATCTTATTCCAGTGGTAGTTACAGTGGATTATATCTCATGAATATAAATTTCATGACACTATGCTTTTTGAATTACTATATAGTTCATGTAAACACCTTAGACAGCAACGAAAAAATAAAGGGCTGGTATATATATATATATAATAAGCCAAGATTATAATTTTATGGTGGAATAGTTATAGTGCTGTGTGTGCATGGAATTATATAAATTGGAGAGTATATATTTTACAATTAATATAGATTACCTTTGCAATATGAAAATAATCCATGTACTACAGCTACACATGATGCATTCACTTAAATATACAGAGGTAAGTATTTATTTGATATCTCCATATAAAATGAATATCATTAATGTGGTGAAGTAATGTTCTTAAACATTCCTCCTTGCTTTTATTATTCCTCCTCAATTTCCTGCCTTTACTTAATATATAACTATAACAATGTGCAAAAAAAGTCTTCTCTCCTGTTACATTATTACCCAGATTAGATGCACAGGTGTGGGGATTGATTAGAATGTGTTGATTTAGGAAATTTCCCAGTTGTTCACATTCTAGAAGACCTGGAAGAGTGAATTCAACCATATTTTCAAGGGAGAGGTGAGGGCCCAGAGATATATATCCCATGAATATGTAAACACCTAAACTACACACCTAGTTTAGGTTTATACACCTAAACTACAGAAACAGCTTATGAACAATATCAGCTCACAGCAGTGAAGGAAATCAGAAGATGAGGGAATGATATCTTTACATGGCAAATAACATAATTTTACTATTCTCTGTGCACAGACTATAGTCAACAAAACTGTATGTGAAATAAAGAAATTTGCAGGAAAACAAAGATGCATAAATGCTAGCAAACCTATACTAATAGAAATCTCAAGGGTAATAATCTACATATAAGGTAGTTAACTAACTGTATGAGAAATCTCAAAAAATCACAAGGAAATAAAGGATAAAAATATTCATAATATTAGAAAATAAAAAATGAAACTTTTCTGAACCAAAAGCCTCAATGCAGCATAAGACCCCAAAAAAGGATTCCAGGAATGGGATCAAAAATGGGGTGGAGAAGGTGCATGGGACTGTGGTGATGGCACACAGGTGAAGTGGTGGTGGGAAGCCCATGGGGATTACAACCGAGATGGAAAAAGCACAAAATGAAGACTGATGTAAAAATAAATTAAAAAAAAATCTATCAGGTTTTCACTCTTATTTTTTTTTATTCTGTGAAAATTCACAAGCCAATTCTAGCATTTGCAGTAAATGCAAAAAACCTGCAGTAGCAAAAGTAGCTTTCTAAGAGGACCAGATGAATCTTTTCCTAACATATGATCATAAATCTATTGAAATCAAGTGAGACTCATGTTAGAAGATGAAAAAATAGGTCAATGGAACAGAACAGAGCCCATGCACAGACCAGACTGTGTAGACCCCGCTCCACAGAGGGGCAAGGAAGTCAGTGGAGAAAATAGTCTTTCTGCAAAGGACCTTGAGGAATTGAATACCCAGAGTCACCAAATCAAAATTTTGCCCTGAATATAAAATGTAAAAATAAAAAATAGTCTTTAAAATGTTAACTTTTTAGAAGAACATACGGGATAAAATTCTGTAGTCTTGGGTTAAGAAAAGCTTCTTGTAAAAGAAAAACACTGAGGTACAGGAAACTGAACTTTCCTCATGACTTTTTGAATAATACATGTAGAAGAACCAGACGTAAGACACATGGGGAGAAAATACTTTCAACTAATATATCTGATAAAGTACAGGAAATCAAACTATGTAAAAGAGATTTCAAAGACTCAATAATGTGAAAAAAAATCCCAATTTAAAAATTGGGCAAATCATGTCAATAACTCTTCACCAGATAAATGCACAGACATGATTAGATGCAAAACATTGTGAGTGGTCAAGTAAATGCAATTTTTTTTCTTTTTAAATTTTTAGATATATTCATTAGCCATCCTTCAGTTTTGTACAACGTATGATTTCCCTGTGAAATTACCACCACCAATCCACCCGCGCACCATCACCATCGTCCTTTTAAAATATCTGCAGCTTGGCCCTCCCTGGTGGGATTAGGATACAGCACTGCAAGCTGGCCACAGCCTCTTCAGTGCGAGTTCAATCCTCGGCCCCAGAGGTGACCCACATGGTGCAGCAGACCTGCTCCCCTCAGCAGTGTACTTCATTGATCTGCCTGTTCTGCTCCCCGCTCTGTCTATGGTGAATCCTCTCATCCCCCTGCACCTCTGGCCTGTACCCCAGTTCTGTATACATAAATAAATAAATCTTTAAAATAAATAGTTTTTACAGCCCAAATGCCCAAAAGTGGATGACTGGATTAAAAAGATGTGGTACATATATACAACGGAATATTACTCAGCAACCAAAAAAAAAAGAAACACATGTCTTTTGCAGCAACATGGATGGAGTTGGAAAAGTTCATGCTTAGCGAGATAAGCCAGAAAGAAAAGGAAAACTACCGGATGGTTTCTCTCATAGCAGGAATATAATGGAACAGGCAAGAAAATAATGATAATGATGAACAGCTATATACCAGAGACATTTTGTGGGGGTGAAGTGGGGAATGGGATCAAAAACAATGGAGGGAGGAAAAGCACTGGAGTGTGGGGATTGCACATGGGTGATCTGGTGATGGGAAACCCAAGAGGATTGCAACTGAGATGGAAAAATGCATAAAAATATGTAAAAATAAATTATTATAAAAAATAAAGTTTTAAAAAAATCTGCAACTTAATTTGTTTCAATCATTAAAAAAATAAAAATAAAAGGATGAGCGGCAGTTAAGAGAGTAGTCCTATGCCCATTAAGGATATTTCAATTTTCATTAAAATTTCCTTACAAAACTGGAGCCACAATGCTTCACAGGTGATTTTATCAAACATATTATGTGAAGAAAGAGTACTAGTTGTTTGACTTGATTAGTTGTTTGACTTAATAGGGGTGTCAGAATCACTTGTCAAGCCCAGCACCCAGTGCTTCTCTGACGAGCGACTAGCTGTGCCAGTGCTGGAGGGTGCCAGGTCATCCTGCTTCTCAGGTGGGACCATGAGCAGCCCAGGGGCCCCGATACCGGGGACACCCTCAGGTAATGACTCCTGCTCAGTGCCTCCAGGCAGGCCCCTCCCCAAGGTCTGTCAGGAGCTGGGGACAATTAAGCGACTGTCTTCCCTTAACCAGGGACTGAGGGACCTGTTCTCTCCGTGGCTTATAAGGTGGTGTCCGCCTGGCTGTTCCTGTATCAGGGACAAAGAAGCTCGGGAGGTGATGGGCTCACAGAGGATGTCTCCTTACTATTTGCCACTGGTCCACCCAGCAGAAGCTGAGACTCAAAGACACCGATTAGGTGCCTGATATAACAAAGAATGACACAGGCCAGAGAGGGCCCTAGGTGAGCAGTGTGTCTGTGCTCAGAGGTGAGATGTGCCCCCCCCCCCACCCTGTGGTCTGAGTGTGATGGAGCCAGATGAATGTTTCTGGCCCTGTGTGATTGCTGTGTCTCTGGTCTTTGTGTCTCTGAGCGAAGGATAGAAGGAGAGAGAAAACAGAAGAGATGAGGAACAGTAAGACAAAGGTGGGGAGGTGGAAAGGGAAGCAGAAATAGGAAGAACTGGAGAGAGATGGCTGACGCAACCTTACTCCTCTCCTCTTTTTGGCCCAGACCCAAGGACCCACTTGTCTCCCATTAAGCAAGTGGGGACCGCTGCTGAGTGTGATCTGTAGTGCCTTCTTCCTCAGTCCTGTGGTCTCAAGCTTCCTCCCTCCCTCTGCCATAATGCCACCTGTTCACCCCTAGTGACTCATCAGACAGGTGAGTAAAGGGACTGCCAAGTGTGGAGTAGGAGATGTGGCCCCCACTCTGGCCAGGAGGTACCTGCTTTTACCCATATGCAGCAGAGGTGGAAGGATCTGAAATTGTTATGGAGTCAGTGTTAGGTGTGATCTTGTGTTTTCTTTGATTACATGTGTGTGTCACTCCAAGGAGTAGTATGTGTGTTGATGTTTACATACAAGTGATGTTTTGGGGGGTCCTTGCCACTGCACAGGGCCCACCTGCCTTCCTCACTATTGACTATCCACAGCGGTTATGCTCTGCATTGAGAGGAAGGGATGCGTGGGTCTCGCCCACCTGGGCAGGTGTCATGTACTAACGGCTGGGACCTCAGACCCTACAGCAGGTTCTGCCAGCCCAGTCCTCATCTGGCCCTAATGTTTGCTCTTGACATTCAGATCCCTTCCTGGGAAAGGAGGGGAACTAGCTCCACATACAGTGCTGTTTTGAGGACTAAATGAGGCAATGCAGGTTCATGATTAACGCTCGGTAAAGAGGATTCTTATTGTCCTTCCCAAGCCAGTGTCAGTGATGGAGATCCCCACTTCACCGCTGTCTGGTTCAGACTGAGCAGAAGGTCAAGGAAAGCGGCCCAGGCATGGCCCTCACAACTGGAGCTCAGGGCCCAATCCTTCCAGGGCTCTGGAGAAGCGCCTTCCTCACAAGCCACCTTCCCCTCACCCTCCCTACCAAATCTGGTGGGTC